CCTGTGGAGATATCTCCAAAATGCCAATATGTCTGATATTGACATAAATGCCAATATTTTTATTTGTGATTTCACAGCGTTTCCCCCTTTTCTGTCTCGAATTTACACCTCCCACACCAGCCTGACTAGCACGAATTCCTCCTTACTGGCTCAGTGCTTTGCTGTCAGAAGCCCTCGGCACACGCACACATCAGCCAAAAGGTGGCTGCACACAAGGAGAAGGAAAGGCCACATGGAAGTGAAATTAATCATAGAATATCATGAGCTGGAAGGCATCCACAAGGATAATTTAGTCCATCTCCTGAATTTTTAGAGAGGCTCCTCTACCTGCCACCTCCAAGAATAACTTTTCAGCTCAGATTCATAACTGATTTTAGCAAAGAAAACATATAATATTTTTTTTTCCAGTTTAGCAACTAAAATCAGCCAGAAATCATCAGATTCTTAGTGTACCCAATGTGAAAGACATTGCTGTTTTTTGCTCTGATGATCAAGGGAGACAAATAGTTAATGTGGTTCAGACAGTGGAGCAGGACTCCACAAACCTTTTAGGTAGAATTCCTCAACTTTGACAAATAAATCTGCCTTAATTATAAAATACTTTATTTCTGGAGTGGACAGAGACATTAAACAGCAGTTTCTGGGGCACACAAAAACCTTGCCTTTGTAATAGTTTGGTTTTCTCCCTCTCAAAGGCTTCCTTTGCTATTCTCTACTGTTTTATTAAATCAAACCAGTTATTCCTTGCTGGAAGACAGGCACCCACAACAAGAGGACAACTCAGCATCCAGTGTAAGTTTTACTGCTTGGCTTCAGCTGAAATTATAGATAAAAGGTAAATCATAGATAAAAGCTGCCAGCCGGAGCTGAGAGGCCAGATCCCACCTGTGAGCATGTCCCCCTTCCTGCCTGGCCTGCCAGAGGATCCCCTAGGAAAAGGGCAGTCCAGGGGGACAGGGTGCATCCTTCCATTTTGTCAAAAATAATGTTTTATTGCAAAATTAATTACACACAATTAGAAATCACTCCATCAGCTCCTCACCTGCTGAGCAGCAGTTTCACAGACCGTGCTTCACAGGTGTTATGAAAAAGGGAAACAAACAACTCTTGCTGAAGATGCTGCTCCTCTGCCCAAGGGCTTTCCTTCACCCACTTGGTTTTGCTCTTGAAAGTCCACACTGCTACTTGTTTCCTTTTTCCTTGTAGCTGTTTGCAAACAGTTTAACTGGTTCTTCCACTGTTCTTCTGAGAAGTTAAATTCTCCTGTATTGTCTGACAGTACCCTTTTCCTGACTCAGAGGTGGGGCAGCTGAGAGGCGTTTTTTATCTCAAAGCTTACATACAAATACATGCTGTGTGAACCTTCTGTCAAACCCTAAAAGCTCTCCACAAATCTATTTCCTACACTGTATAACTCCCCAGTTCCTCCTTTTGAGGAGATCCCAGAGAAACGGGGGTTAGACGAAGGTGGGTGCAGTAAGGGCAGCCCAGTGTGGGTGAAAGGCTTTGCTCTGTGACTGTCACACCCTGAGTGTCCCCATGGGCCAGGGGCTCTGCTCTGTGCCCCTTCCCAGTGATCTTGGGCACTGCCAGCCTGGGGCTCCAGCTGGGTCCTGGTACAACCACGACACTGCAGGATTTAGCCTTGACTGTAACCAACTCCCTTCAGCCAAAGGTTTAGATCACTCAGCTCCCAGGCTGGGAAAGCCCAGCAATGACAGACTGATGGAGGAGATACTGGATTGTTGTCAAAACCAAACAGACCGGCGTGCCTGGGTACCAACCTGCCCTGGTTTCCTTTAGTCCTTGCTGGAATGAAGCTCCTGTGTGTGTCACCCAGAGGCATTTCTTTGGAAAATGACGAGGTGACCACAGTGTGCCCAAAGCCACCCCAGCCTGCCTGCTCCCTGTGACTGCAAAGGGTTCAGGCAAAACCCCAAGGGACTCCAACTTTAGGGCACCTGTGGAAGAGGGACCATCTTGGGTTTCCTGCTGTCGGGATGACCTGAGAGTCCCTTTTTCCCAGCCCGATGATCGAAGTAAGAGTTGGGATTCTTCAGCTGTGGTTCACAAGGTTGTTTATTACCTATTAACTAAATTATTTTTTCTCAAACCCGCAGAGGTCTGCTCTGCAGGTCTGTCAAGGGCACACTGCCTGCCCCTGGGCTGGTGTCCACATTTTATACTATGAGTTACGTGTACTTTATTTATCATTATTTTCCAATACCTATCACCTCTGTCTACTTCAACTCTAAATCAATCCAAATGTGCCACCATCACACAGAATATGGAGGCTAGGAAGAAGAAGGAAGAAGCATAGGACAACACCCAGATTCCTCCATCTTGCCTCCTAGACCCCTATAGTAAAAATCCCCAAAACTCCACTTTTCACCCTGTGATTAATTCATTATCACTCTTCTTAAACTTCTGTGACTTGTGATTCTTCATACAGGGTTGGTAATTTGCTCCATGGGTTAGGATGGAAATCCCAAGTATCTCTGGCCTCCTGCCAGGACTCCCCTGCCAGGGGCACGTGTCACCCTGGGCCCCCAGAGGGGTGTCCTGGGTTCCAACAGGACCAAAGTAATTTGGATGAATTATTCTGTTCTGATGAATCATTCTGTTCTGATGAATGCAGCAGGTTTTGGGAAATGCTGCGTGTGTGCAGTGGGTCTGGGATGTGCTGGGATTCCAAAGGCCTGGGAGGTTTCAGAGGGAGAGCAGAGCCTCTGAAAGCCTCCAGGTAACATGCACTTCCCTGTGCAAGGCAGGAGGAGAAGCTGAAAGCAACCAAAGCCATGGAAGAGTCTGTGCAAGGTGTTTGTGATGGCCCTGGAAGTGTTGTCCTCTCTCCTGTTTTGGATGCCATGCCAGGGCCATTGCCTGAAATGCAGCTCTCCTGCTGCCAGTGCTGCTAACTCAGGCTGAGAGGCACTTGCTCTGGGGGAGTACAGAAATGACAAGATAATTCCAGAAATACATAAGCACAACCTTCACACACAAGTTTTTTTAGAGTTTTAGGAAGAAAACCAGTGCAAAATCCAGGGTCAGGGAGAGAGGAGATGGAGACAGGGAAGGAAGAGCTTGTGTCTGGTTCCTGTGTAAAATGTGAGAATCACAGTCTTCCAAGGGTTTGGGGTGTGTTAGCTCAGCATCCTGGTGATTTTGCAGAAACTGAGCAGTGAGCAGGGAGCCCAACTTTCTTTTCCTGAGGGAGCAGGTTGGGATTACTCAGAGCAGCTTTCCTGAGGACCTCATCATCCCTAGACATGACACTGCAGATCCACAGAAGCAAACAATCCTCCTCACATCCCTCCAGCCCCAAAAGGCTTCTGCAGCACCCCGAGGCAGTGCTCCATTCCTCTGCAGGGCTTGGCCAAGGCTGGGTCCCATCCCAGCCCGTGTTCCCAGGGGCTGTGTGGCACAGAACACCAAACCCAGGCTCTGCATCCCAGGGAGCTGCTCTGGGGCAGCCCAGCCCTCCCTGCTGTGACTGCAGTCGTGTTTCTGGTGGAGGAAGGAGGGTGAGAGCCGTTTCCAGGAACAGGAGCTCCAGCACACCCAGGCAGTGACCAGAGGTGGGAAGGGAACAAGACTTTCCACACCAGTGGAAGGTGTGGAGCTTCTTCACTAAGCTTCCATGACCCGTGGTGTGTTCTGCAGCCAACACCAGAGTGTATTCCTGACTCACCCCACCCTCAGCTCAGCGTGGGGTGTCCTCTCAGCAGCTCCTGCCCAGCTGCTGCACTCCCCTCTTCATCTGGTTTGGTTTATGTTCACATAAAGATCCCTGCCTAGATGGGAGAACCCATCAGAGACCTAACACCAGAGTGTATTCCTGACTCACCCCACCCTCAGCTCAGTGTGGGGTGTCCTCTCAGCAGCTCCTGCCCAGCTGCTGCACTCCCCTCTTCATCTGGTTTATGTTCACATAAAGATCCTTGCCTAGATGGGAGAACCCATCAGAGACCATTGCTCCTGCTTCCTCTGCATGCAGGTTACATGACAGGACATGTGCCTCGTGACAGGTTAAGAGGGCACATTTTGGGGAAGGGAAACTTTCTGACAGCTCATCCCTAGAAGGCAGGCAGGTAATTATACTCCCAGTGGACTCCATCCTCACCAGGAGAAGGCAGCGCCTGACTTTGGTCACGATTTGGTAATTTACAGCAGAAAAAAGTCCAGCAAAAAGAGCAGTGGAAAGAGCAGTGCTGGACTGCCCCCAAAGAGTGATGCAAAGTCTGCCAACCAAAATAAGAACAGGAGGTGGACCCTGCTTCAGACAATTGACATTTGGCAGCTCTGGCTGTCACAAGCAGAAGTCACAAAGAGATCAGCCAAAGGCGTCCCAAGGGACAGGCTTCCCTCTGCCAGGAGAGAAGCCTGCATGGCCAGGAAATGCCCCTCTGGGGGCATTTTATGGACTACAGGTTTCCAAGTGTGCAAAAGGGCAATTTGTTCTCAAACAGTTCTCAGTTTTCTCCTTCCAATGCTTTGCACAGCATCCCAAGGCTTTAAAACCAGAAGAAAATAGTGAAAAGGGAAGTGCATGTTTTCTGTCCAATCCCTTATGCTATCCACCTGTCCCACATTCCTTTCTTATTCATTGCTTCTTTACAGAAAAGGGATTTCAGAAGCATTATAGGACGCTAGAAGGGAGGGAGCCAGCTCTGTAAACTCCCCACCTGAGGGTGAACAGAGAGGTGAGAGCTTTTACTGACAAAAAACTGAGTGAAGACAAGCACTGTCCACCAAACACTTCGTTATTATTGGAAAGAACACGTATCAAGACATCCACAGCTAAAGCTATGAAAGACATAAACACCTCTCCTTTGAAGGGCCCTTACTCAAAACTGAACTGGGATGCAATAAATCAGCCCCCACATTCACACAGAAAACCAAAAAAAAAAAGAAAAAAAAAAAAGAAAAAATAAAGAAAAGAAAGAAAGAAAGAAAGGAAGGAAGGGGAAATTTAGATTAGTCACAAAGAAGTTCCCCGCCTGCTTCTGTGTGCATAAAGCAATCTCCTGAAGGCACTGTGTGCACTTCAGCTCTGTCCTGGCACGGCAGCCCCAGCCCTGCTCCCTGAAGGACAGGCTGCCATGGAAGGACAGGCTGCCATGGAAGGACAGGCTGCCATGGAAGGACAGGCGGACGCCGAGCCGGGAGCTGGGCAGCAGCTGCAGCACCAAAGGCAGCGAGCAGAGGACGAGCAGAGGCTGTGGCAGGGAGGCCAGGTCAGGAACACGCTGCACCTCATCTCCGCCGTGGCTCAGTGGATTTTGCTGCTTGCCTGCCTGATTTACCTGGGTGTACATTTTCTGCGGCCCTCAAAGGTAAGAACTCATGTTCAGCCCTCTGTCTGCTGGCCTGTAAAGCCTGTATGGGCTTATTTTCTTTTCTTTTCTTTTTTTTTTTTTTTTAAATAAACAAAAAAGCTTTTAAGTTTATCCCTATCCCTATCCCTATTCAAGATTTTAATCCCGTCTGTATGACAGTATTTTTTTTCCATTTATTTTATTTTAATTTTAATTGCCTGTCCTCAAAATGACATTCAGTGTTGCCCAGTGCAGGGTTTGGGCCCAAGTTTCCAGCAGAGTGACTGTTCCAAGAATGCTTTTATCACTGACCCCTGGGGGAGAGAGGTCTGACTCCCTTCCACTCCTGCCCCTCCCTGCAGTGACTTGTGCGTATTTCCATTTAATTGAATAAGATTGTGTGCGTGAATGACACCCCAATGTGCTCATAAACACCTCCTGGACTTCCAGACTGTGCTGAATGGCAAGCAGATGTGTGAGAAAGCAAGCCACCCTTGTGACAGCTGTAGCAAGACCTTTGGGTGCTCTCAGCCTGCCCTTAGAGCAGGGTTAGGAGCAGTCAGCTCCTTCTGTGCCTGCCTGAGGAAGGCTGGCGTGTCCAGAGAGTTTTGTGTGCCCACAGCAGCAGAGCAAGCAGGACAAATAGCAGAGATGCTTGGGGCTCACAGTGCTCTTTGTGTGCCCACAGCAGCAGAGCAAGCAGGACAAATAGCAGAGATGCTTGGGGCTCTACAGCACAAGCTGCAGCACAGACGTGTTTGGCTCTCACGTGCTTGCAGGCTGCTGGATTGTCAACAACCTTTCACTGCTGCTTCAGAGCTGCTGGTGCAGCAGCGATTTCTCCTCCCACTCCTTCTCCAGGAGCTTTGCACCACTTTGAAGCTTGTTGTGCTTTGTTTTACCCCAGTTCATTCTTTCCTCCCACCCAGGTTTGGCACAGAAGCAAGCCAGGCATGTAACCATGGCCTCACGCTCCTCGTGCTGCTCAGTGAAAACCCTTGTGCTCTGCACAGCTTTCACTGACTTGAGGCTCACAGTGGCTATTAAACTGCAGAACAACAATCCAGATAACACTGAAAGATAACAGTTGTCATTCAGGCCAGTCCTCTTCTCCTTCCCCTGCTTTGGGAGAGAGGAGCTGCACCGTAAGGCAGCAGAGGAGTGCAAGCAACCACAGCGCTCAAGGTGCACAAACCTCCCCCAGGTGACACCCAGGCTGTGAAGGCTCATCTCTCAGCCTCTGGCTCTTCTGTAAAAATGCTCCTCTTCCAGAGGAAGACAGCAGGGCCTGGCATTGCTGCCTGGGAGCCTTACAAACCCAAGGCAGCAGCAGCAGCTGAGGGACACAGTACATGTCTGGAGCTTCCCTTCCTCAACAGAAATTATTGAAACAGGGGGCTCCAGGAACAGCAGTGGCATCAGATGAGAAGTCCAGGTCCTGAGAATTCCCAAAGGACCTTTTCAGTTTTAAACACTTGCTAACTACAGGGTTAGGACTATTATTTCTGTTATTTTAACAGATAACCCTGGTGCCCTGTTTGGAGTGCCCTGCCCTGTGCAGGAGTGGTACGTGGGGAGATTTCATTGCAGTGCAATCCCAGGGCTCAGCTGGACAATCATGAACTGGCCCTATAAATGTCCCCTGAAGGGGCAGCAGCACTTGACTGATCCTGAAAGGGATCTGACTGGACTTTTGAGGCAGTTTAGGGATATTTCTGGAAGTAGGAGCACAGCAGCATGGGAGAGGCAGGCTTGGGAGTGCTGGCCCGTGCAGTGAATGTCCTTCCAAGAGTCTCCTGCTCTCCAAGGTGCAGAGTGCCATGCTAACTTTATTTGCAAGGGCATAACTGTGTTTTTTTCACAGAGAGACAGTATTTGATTAATTTCCTTTGTCCTCATGGAAACATGGCTCTTGAAAAAAGCCCTCCTGGACTTTTCTGTGAGCACAGAGCATAAATAATGTCATGGCACATCCTCAGTAAAGGTAGCATCTGCAGCCTAGACTGTGCTTAACAAAAAGGGACAGTGATCTCATTTGTCATGATACTGCTTGGAGAACAAACCTCAGCTGAGATTTCCAAATGAGGAAGTTAAAAAAAAGGTCACTGATAATCTGCTTTTGTATCTGCAGTTCCCACCTCTGCTGGAATTGCCTTCTCTTGCCACACCTTTCCTCTTGCTTGGGAGGTAAAATCCCTGGTCCTGGTGAGGAGAGGGACACCCCCCTTCCAGAGGACTGTCACCTGCCACCTGTGGGACACCTCCACGTGTGAGGTGCCCTCAGTCAGCCCCATGAGGTTTGTGCTTTGTGCAGTCCAAACTTGTTCCCGAAACTGGCGCCAGTGGCACGGCCCGGGCAGTGTCCCCGCAGGAGGAGTCCCCTGCTCAGGGATCCAGGGCAGGCAGGAAGGGTCTGTGTGTAAATGGCACGGGGAAACCTGAGGCTGTCAGGAAGGAGCACCTCTGTGTCCTCAGCCCTCTTGGCACATTTCCCACGTGCCCTGTGAAGGCAGAGCAGAGAAAGAGAGGTCTCTGACTTTTCTACAAGCCCCCAGAGTCCTTCCAGTGCCACCAGTGCATCGTGTCCCCAGCAGGATTTACCAGTAGGCACCTGCACAGTGCTCTGAGCTCACACAATAACTGCAAGAGGGACACAAAACAGGCAATTTGCTTTAGTGACCATGGGGTTGATATGAGTGCAACCATTCTGTCACCCGGGCTGTCAGTGCTGGACACTCTGTCCATCAGTGGCAGATCACACAGACTGTGGCAGACTTTGTTTGACCCCAGACACGTGCTAAGTGCTCTTGTCTTTTTGAGAAACTGCCTGGAAACCCCGGCTGTGTGAGCCAGGAGAGAAATGCTTGTGCACTCAGGAATAAGATCAGGCATGCGATTCGAGCTGAGGCGATGGACAGGGACGGTGATGCCAAGGTTCCACCTGACCACGGGCCATTAAGGCTTGTGCTTGCCCGCGGTCCCTGAGGCGCGGAGCATCAGCCGTGGCAGCACTAGAGGGTGCCAGAGCGGACCTTTTCCAGCTCCAGCTCCCACCTCAGCCCCGCACAGAGCGCTCCCAGCTCCCGCAGCCCTCCCCGGCCTTTTCCCGAACCTGCAGGCAGCCTGTGCTCACACCCCGAGCGTTCCCTGTGCCCCTGTGACACTGAGCCCAAATCCACGGAACCAGCCCAATGCCCTCTCACATCTCCTGTGACACTGAGCCCAAATCCCTGGAACCAGCTCAATGCCCTCTCACACCTTGTCCTGTGACACTGAGCCCAAATCCACGGAACCAGCCCAATGCCCTCTCACACCTTGTCCTGTGACACTGAGCCCAAATCATGGAACCAGCCCAATGCCATCTCACACCTTGTCCTGTGACACTGAGCCCAAATCCATGGAACCAGCCCAATCCCCTCTCACATCTTCTCCTGTGACACTGAGCCCAAATCCATGGAACCAGCTCAATGCCCTCTCACACCTTGTCCTGTGACACTGAGCCCAAATCCATAGAACCAGCCCAATGCCCTCTCACACCTTCTCCTGTGACACCGAGCCCATGCCCATCTCACCCTTCTCCCTCAGGGAGCCTTTGGCACACGTAAGGAGAGGAACACAGGGCACAGAGCCCAAGATTCACTCTTTAATGAGGAAAAGGCTCAAGATTTGTGGTTGAGTAGAGACTGCAGATTTGGGTCTCCTGTGGTTATGATGAGAGATGAGTTTGAGATGCCGAGTTCAGATTTAAAAATCCGACGCAGAAGCTCGGTGTTTTGCATATCTGAGCAGTAAGACACACACTTCTATATTTGCATTCACTTTCTCTGTTACATTCATGAAATACAGATCACAGAGTCGCGGAATGGTTTAGGCTGGAAGGGACCTTGAAGAGAATCTCTTTCCAACCCCTCTGCCACAAGCGGAGAGGGACACCTGCCACTGTCCCAGGCTGCTCCAAGTCCCTCCAAGCTGGCCTTGGGCACTTCCAGGGATGGAGCATCTGCAGCTCCTCTGGGCACCCTGTGCCAGGGCCTCACCACCAAAATTAGGAAGAATTTCCTCCTAATACCTAACCTAAACCTGCCCTCTGTCATTTTAAAACCATTCCCCATCCCTCATCACTCCAAGCCCTTGCCAAACTCTCCCTCCAGCTCTCTTGTAGCCCCTTTTGGTGGGTTTTTTTGATGGCGAGATTTTTAAGAAGTTTTGTGCTAGGAATGAGAGATGGATGGGATTTTTTTTTTAATTAGAAGTTTTATACGTTGTTTATATTTTAGATTTAGTGTATCAAGAGAAGGTATTAAAAGTGATAAGATATATAGATTTAAGGTTTTATAAAGCTATTTTGTTTATTTAATTTTTAGAATGTGTTTTATAATTTCTTTTCTATTATTAATTAATCTGGATGTATGCAATATTTGTATTGTGTTTTTTTAAATTAATTATTTTGTGGTTTTAATATTGTAGAAAATGGCGTAGATGAAGAATAAAGAAATTAGATAATGTTTAAATTTCATTATTTTGTTTTTATTTATTTTTATATTAAAAACTTAATTTAAAAATTTGTGATAAGTCATAATATTGCTTATTTTATATATTTGATTTTAATTTATTTGAAAGGTTTGGAAGTTTTTTTATGGATGAAGGTTAAAAATAGTGTTTTTTGGGGGATTAGGATATTTTAGGATAGGTAGCGAAATATCTTTATGTTTTCCTTGTTGCTTGCTCTGCCTCAATGCTCACACCAGTGTGGTTTTCCAAACAAAACCAACCCTGCCCGGAGTGCTTTGGGGGGCTCAGCTCTGGGTTGGAAGTTGCACTGGCTGGGAGCCAGGCTGAAATAACATTCTATAATAATGAAATAACATTCTGTAATAATGAAATAACATTCTATAACAATGGAGTAATATTCTCTAATAATGAAATAATATTATATAATAATGAAATAATAGTCTCTAATAATGAAATATTATAGAATAATGAAACAATATTCTGTCATAATTGAATCATATTCTATATTAATAAAATAATATTCTGTAATAATGAAATAATATACTATAAGAATGGAATAATATTCTGTTATAATGAAATAATATTTTCTAATAAGGAAATAATATTCTGTAATAATGAAATAACGATCTATAATAATGAAATAACATTCTGTAATAATGAAATAATATTCTATAACAATGGAGTAATATTATCTAATAATGAAATAATATTATATAATAATGAAATAATAGTCTCTAATAATGAAATATTATAGAATAATGAAACAATATTCTGTCATAATGGAATAATATTCTATATTAATAAAATAATATTCTGTAATAATGAAATAATATATTTAAGAATGGAATAATATTCTGTTATAATGAAATAATATTTTCTAATAATGAAATAATATTCTTTCATAATGGAATAATATTCTATATTAATAAAATAATATTCTGTAATATGAAATAATATACTATAAGAATGGAATATTATTTTGTTATAATGAAATAATATTTTCTAATAATGAAATATATTCTGTAATAATGAAATATTCTATAATAATGAAATAATATTCTCTAATAATTAAATAGTATTCTATAACAATGGAATAATATTCTGTTATAATGAAATGATATTCTGCAATAATGAAATAATATTCTCTAATAATGAAACAATGTTCTGTAATAATGGAACAGCCCCGAGCCCAGGTCGGAGCTGGCTGGCAGCAGCTGTGGTGCCCAGGCTGCCGCCGTGCCCTCGGGGCTGCAGCTGCTGTGCCCCTGCAGGGAGTGCAGGGTCCTGGCAGGGAAATGAAAGGGCAGCAGCAGCAGCAGGGAGGTGCCAGCCCCGAGCCTTACCAAGGATTTATCTGCTTTGTTTTGCAGCCCCAGAGTGACAAAGTGCTGTGGACCTACATCCGCTACTCAGGTGGGTGTTGGGTGGGGGACCCGGGGGGACCCCCCAGTGCAGCAGCCACCACCCTGCCACATCCCCCTGGCACACTGGGAGGGCTCCCCACAGTCCCCAGGGGCTCCGTGGCCCCTGAAATACCCAAATGGCTCCCATGTGCTCGGTGCCACAGGGATGGCTGTTTCTTCTGCTGGAGGACAGTGCCAGGAGAGCTGTCAGGGGCCCAGCCTGCCTCGGTGCTGCAAGGGGGCAAAATCAAACAGCTGGGGCTTCCCAGAGCAGAACAAAAAACCTGAAAATCTGCGTGGATCCCTGCATGCCTCACCTATCTCCTGAAACACCCTTTCACTCTGTGAATGAGCAAGAAAGGCATTTTTGAGAGTTTGCTAAATGCACGCTCTTGGGTTTTTCTGAAACAAGTCAATGGTTTCCTGATCTATGAAAAATGTAAATGATTTCCTCAGGAGTGGGTGAGAGCACACACCGTATCAGATGTGCTACTCTGCATGCCAGCTGCACTGGAGGTTTGTCTGATGTCACACCTCAAAGATACAACCAATCAGTAAAGCTTTTTAAATAATACTGAAAATATTATTGACGGTTTTACTTTCAGGTAAAAGCGTGAGGCAGCAGGGAGCCCAACCTAATAGAAACTCATGTCCTTTAGAGGAAAAACTTGAGAAATTTGGCCCCAGCCCAGAGGGGCTGTGCTCCCTGCCTGGAGACCTCCTGGGTGCCCTGGTGCCAGGGGTTTCAGCTGCTCTGCTGGGAACCCAGCACAAAAACATGGTCAGCACAGCCTGGGAACTGTTGCTCTTCATTCCCCGGAAAACCTTTCTTGCCAAGTTCCTGTTTAATTTCTCCTTTTGCTGCTCTGTATTAATTAGTTCCTTCTGCTTTTGTTTCTTTGCTGCTCTTTCATCTTGTCTTCTGGGGAAAAAAAAAACAAACCAAACAAAACCAAAAACCCACAACCAAACCCTAAGACAAGGGCTTATGTTACCAGCATTTCCACAGGAAGCACTTTTTATCTTCCAGCTCTGGATGCTTTTTCCTCATCTTATTTATTGTCTTAATTTTCCTGTTCTTTTAATGAACCTGTTCTTTCTAAACTCACAGTGATGCCTTACTTGCTGTATTTTTCTGTATTCGAAGACACAGAGTAAGTAAATTGTGCATAAATAAAAATTTGGAGGAGCCATCCACATAAACCATGTGCCAAAAGGCACAGCTTAGTCGAGAGTGGTAATCTGTAAATTTACATGGTAGATGATGTCTGGCTAGGGTAGATAATAGTCTAGCTCTGGTCTGTTGGATTCAGCTTTTTTTTTTACTTAGAGATGGGGTAACTGAGAGGGGTTTAAAAAACTTTTATTTTCAGTCTTATGTGAAGCGTGAGACAATGTAGATGCTATAATTTACGTCATTATAATTAGAAGTTAATTATTTCTTAATTACAATATATTATAAATGTTTCTTGGTTTATTAGCTTTTTTTACACTATGTTGTAAATGTTTTAAAGTTAATAATCTAAAATTACTCTTTGTGGGTTTTACTACAATGTATTTTTCACAGTTTTATTTCTTTAAAGTATTTAGTCTTACTTGTAAGGCTATCTTTTGAAACTTGTTTCTAGTTCTATTTCTTTCTCAACAATGTTTGTCTTATTCTATGGTATTTCCAAGTTAGTATTTTTTATTTCAGAGTTTGTGTACAGATGTATACTATGTGAGTCTCTTGTTAGGCTTTGAGAATTCTCTACAAATCTATTCCTCACATTGCTCTGCCCAATTCTCTAGTTTACTCTTCCCTTTTTTCATGCTTTTCAATCTCCCCTGGTGTCAGGTGGTGTAAACCAACGCATTTCCTAGAAGACACTTGTCACCAGGGGATCATCTTTGCCTCCTTCCATTGCAGGCAGGAGCAGCAGAGGAGCAGCCATGAACCTCAGTGCGGAATCCGGGTCCATCCGGATCCGGAACGGCTCCATCCTGGTCCCCTATGATGGCCTGTACCTCGTGTCCCTCAACAGCTCCATCGACCTGGAGGAGGAGGGGGACTGCCTGAATCTGACGCTGCAGGGCACCAGCAGCGTCCTGTGGGAGCAGATTGTCCACAGCAACAGCAGCAGAGTGAACTTCACCTCCGTGCTCTACCTGTTTGAGCAGGACAGCGTCACGCTGTGGACCAGCGCCAACGCCATCATCGCAGACCTGTCCCTCAGCCTGGTGCTCGTGGCTGAGAACAAGTACTAGCTGCAGGGGCTGGAGCAGGAAGGGCAGCACGGACAGCACAGCTTCCCCACCAGCTGTAGGTTTTGGACTTGCACAGGCAGACTGCTCTAGAGCCCTCTCTGGGGCTGTGGAGGGCTCAGTGGGAGTGCAGAGGAACCACAGGTTTTATACAGTGCACTCAGGATTCGCCTCTTTGGAGCTCTATGCAGCTGATTTGCTACCCAGGATGGATCTTTCCAACACTGGGGAAAGGGATGCGTGGAGCTCTTGAGATGAACAGAAATGAAAGCCAAAGAAAGTCACCCAAGCTTAGCTCATATGCAGAGAAACCCCAGGTTTCTCTATTTACTTGACAGTATCTGTATATAGTAGGAATGTGTTGTGTTTTCTCTCTGGTGAGTCAGGAAGAAACCTCAAGTGTCCTGAAGCCATTTGGAGCAGGAGGAGCACGAATCTGCCTGCCAAGATGGAAAACAGGGAAAAGGCAGCAGGGAATGCCTTTGGATTGAGCCAGAAAGGCTGTCTGAGAGGAAGGGCTGTGAGAGAAGGTGGAGTGTGGAAATGAGCTCGCAGGAGTGCACTGGGCAGCAGGAGCACTGACTGTGGAGTTTTGGGGAGCAGCCTTTGAGAGCAGAGCCCCTCTGGCTCTTCCAGCTGTCTGCAGACTACTGAAGCCCGAGCCCAAGGAGCATCTGCTGGGACATTCACATCTTGAGATGTGAGGCCTCAGAGGAAAACCTCCTTCAAGCACACACACTGGCTTGACCCAAAAGCGATCCAGGCACAAAAAGCTGGGCAAAAGTGAAGACTTGTGGATGTGGTGAACTCTCTAACGGACCAAGGGGCAGCTGCAGGTCTGTGCAGCCTTTCTCCAGGGAGGATGGCTCCCATGACTGCCCTTGGCTTTGTCCCACAGGGGTGCAGCAGAGATTCCCAGGCACGTGGTGAACTCTCTAACGGACCAAGGGGCAGCTGCAGGTCTGTGCAGCCTTTCTCCAGGGAGGATGGCTCCCATGACTGCCCTTGGCTTTGTCCCACAGGTGTGCAGCAGATTCCCAGGCATGGCCTCCACTGCTGGGCTCAGTGACCCTGGGCTGCTCATCCCTGCCCATCCAGCCCAGGGCTGCTGGAGCAGGCAGCCCCTGACCCCAGCACAGCCAGCAGCTGGGCGGTTTTTGCTTGCAGCAAGGCAGATTTTAACCATGTGTATTTTTGACTTCGTGTCTCCCAAGGAACTCCATCAACATTTCAGCATGTTGCTGCTGGCTGCACAATCCGAAGCCTTCTGTTAGAAGTATTTATGTATTTAAATGATAGGCATAAGAATGTTACATCAGATTGCTGAGAAACACTGGGAAGGGTCCAGACCAGGTGGTCAGCACCGAACTCCTCTTTGAAAATGCTCCCAATGCTCCAGGCTGGTCCTGCTTTGTGGGCACCCAGACCTGGGCTGATGCACTCATGGCTGAGCACTCCAGCAGACCCAGGTGCTACAGGCAACCAAGGACATCCTCCAGGCCTTGGAGAGCTTTCCTGGGCTTTAGGCTAAGGAGCCTGCCTACCTGGGCCGGACCAGAGCCCCAGGGGAAACTGGCTGCAGCAGCCAACTCAGGTAGTGCCAGGAAGCAGTAAAGTGCCTTTTCTCCCCTCAGCTGTGGCTGGCTTGCACCCACAGGATGCTCATCATTAGGGATATTTTGGGCTTTTAACCCTGGCCACGCTCAGCACCACGGGGACTGAAGGCAGCTGCACCTGCCCCGAGGCTGGGGATTGTCACACTCCCCAGCAGAAGTGAGAATGTGTTTCTCTTCCTAAAAAATAATAAATTTTTCCTTTGCAACATTTGGGCTTGTAGTGTCCTTTGGAGGTGGGGTCTGGGGGAGAAGGAGGTTGGAAGTGACTGCTGAATGATACATTTGAGCAGACATTTCCAGTGCTATGGAAAGTATATTGCATTTTCACATACTTCCTTTTTTTTACAGTTCAGCTTTTGTTGCAGCTCTCCATGAGGGTGTGCAGGGCTGGTGCTTCCCAACATCTGCTAACACAGTGCAGGCTGTGCCAGTGGTGTGTGCAGGGCTGCACAGGACAGTGAGAAAGATGAAGCCTGGAGAGCACAAATGGATTTGTTCTTTGGAAGGCTGCACCCTTTCTTGTTTAGAGCAAAGAGGGCTTTTCTCTCACTGATCCCAGTGCACTTCCAGGCTGAACTGCACTGACCTACATCTGTACATACACCTGCACTTACCTTGAAATACAGGCTGAAATGATTCAGCTTCTGACATTGATTGCTTGATGGACTGACTGTCCTCACCAGTAAGTTTCCATAAGTTTCCATGCCTTCAGTTTTTGTTTGTATCCAAAGACCCCTTTCTTCCACCAGGTTAAAGGTCTCTTTGATATGAGAAACATCCATTTATGTTGCTGGGGTTGTAGAGACCTTGCAGGAAGTTTCTATTTTAATATTATGTTATTATTCTAATATTATAGTCTAAAACTATATTTAACACACTGCTGAAAAGGATTAATACAGTATAACTTTCTAACATAACACATATAATCATTTTAATATTTGCAAAAAGCCAATCATATAATATGCATTTGTGAAAAATGCACATTTTATGATTGGCTTTTCACAAATATTAAAACGAATATTATATGTGGTATATTAGAAAGTTATGCTGTATTAATTTTCTTAAGTAGTGTGTTAAATATAGTTTTAGGTTGTAACATAATGTTAAAATAGAAACTATGCTGTGTAAGGTACTTTTTTTTAAAGAAAGGAATGAGGTACTCACACCAAGATAACAGCCACAGGACACCTAAGTCTTTCAGAGGAAAAGAATTTATTGCTCCCTTAACTTCTTCCCGCCTCATTCAGCCATGAAGATGCCGTCAGGATTAAGAGGAAGAAGGTGACACTGACCAGACAGAATCCTTTGTTTGAATGGAATTTATGCATCATGTATGAGATGTATGAATATGCAACTGTTGCTTTTAAGAGTTAATCCTCTGATAATGTGGGTCCTTTTTCGGGCTTATTTTGCTTAGAAAGAGGTACCCAGACTGTCCCTAACTCTTTGTTTTTATTGCCCTCTATTGTCCTAATCCTAATTGTCCAAATTTTTATTACTCTAATTTTATTACTATTTTTATAACCATTTTATTACTATTAAACTTAAAATTTTTTAAAAACAAGTGATTGGCGTTTTTCACTCCACTTTCTACTTCTCCTCTTCTCCCTCTCCCTTCCCATCTCCCCTGGCTCACAAGGGTGACAAAGCTGATGTGCGAGCCACGGCCAGCCCTGGGAGAGGAGCAGAACGGGATGGAGGCTGCCTGTCCTTATGCCAGAAATGATGTACAGTCCATTCACACCATGTGAAAATGACCTCATTTTCTACAACATACGGTTATCAGTAACAATGGCTGATGAGCTGTGGTTTTTCGGACACCATTTACATTTAACCAGCCAGCGTGAGTCACAGCTGCTGCCTGTCAGCTTCACTGGAGAGCAGAGAAAGCCAAAGTGTGCTTGGCAAAGTGCAGCTGGCTGCTGTAGAGCCAGCACTGTCCCGCTCAGACAGCAGAGAGCACAGGAATTGTGTTTCTTATTCAACAATCCAAATGGGAGAGCGTGACAGAGACTCGAGCAGCCTCCTGCAGTAACTGGCTGGGAAGGTTTGACTTATTAAACTTTTCTGAGCAACATCTCTGACTTCAGAGCTGGTTTGGAGCTGGCAGTTGGTTCCTGTTTTCCAAGGGATCCAGACCAGCCCCAGGATGCTTGCTTCCAGCTATGGGGCAATAATCAAAATAAGCAAATTGAGCAACACGCTCACTGGGGACTGGAAGGAGTTGGTGCCAGGCCAGACAAGAGCAGTGGCGAGAGTAGAAGGATTTGTCTGCAGCCTTCTGTGCCCTGAGCCCAGGGAGGATCGGGAGGTTGTTTGCTCATTCTCCAGGTGGATGAGGAAGGCAGCTGAGGGCTCCGTTTTCTAAGAGGATGTGTGAAAAATGTGTATTTTATGATTGGCTTTTCGCAAGAATTAAAACGAATATTGTAAGTGTTATGTTAGAAAGTTATGCTGTATTAATTTTCTTAAATATAGTTTTAGGTTACAACATAATGTTAAAATAGAAACTATGCTATGCAATATATTTGTTTAAAAAAGGACTCACCAGATAGAAGCCACAGGACACCTACATCTTTCAGAGAAAGGGAATTTATTGCTTCCTTATCAGCAGAAAAACTAACTTCTTCCCACCTCTCTCAGTCTGGAAGACAGCATGAGGATTAAGAGGAAGAAGTTGACAGTGACCAGACAGAATCCTGTGTTTGAATGGAATTTATGCATCATGTATGAGGTGTATGAATATGCAACAGGTGATTGTTTTTAAGGGTTAGTCCTCTGTTAACGGGCGTCATTTTTTGGTCTTGTGTTGCCCAGAAAAAGGTACCCCGAAGTCTGTATCTCTTTGTTTTTATTGTCTCATATTGTCCTAATCTCAAATGTTCAAATTTTATTATTCTAATTATATTACTATTTTTATAACCACTTTATTACTATTAAACTTTTAAAATTTGAAAAACAAGTGATTGGCATTTTTCACAATGAGGAAGGCTGCTGAAGGCTCCCTTCTCCAAGCAGATGAGTGAAGCTGTTAAGGGCTAGAGAGCTGAGCAAGCAGAGTGGAGGCTGAGCACATCTCCCCATGGAGATGCCAGCAAGGCCACCTTCAGCATCCCAGGGAAGAGCACACCCCACATGCTGGGCTGGGAGAGGCTCCCCGTGCCCCCTGCACCAGCAAGGAGGAGCCTGAGGATGAGAAAACCCCCAGGGCAGGCCAGGAGAGGACAGTGGGGCTGGCTGACCTGTCCCAGGGGAGCAAGGACACTAGGCACAGAGCCCAGGCAAGCACAGGGAAGGAGAGCTCAGGAGAGATGTGAAGCTGGTAGGGGTCCATGGACTGAATGCAGGACAGTCCGAAGGCAGGACTAAAGGAGTGTTTCTCCTGTA